ACTGAATGCAGTAAAAACTGCCTCAGTGGACGATTTTGCACAAAAAATCATTTTGTGTTTCGGCGTCAGATACAAAAAGTCATACTATAGCATGTCGTTTTTGGTGAAAAAGGTCGTCGTACAGAATGTCGTTAAATCCTGTCAGGAGGTAATACACAGCGCAAATAGTGTAATGAATGGAGTTAGAACCGTCTTCGTGGACAATTTTGCACAAAAAATCATTTTGTGTTTCGGCGTCAAAAAAAAAAAGTCATACTATAGCATGTCGTTTTTGGTGAAAAAGGTCGTCGTACAGAATGTGGTGAAAACCTGTCAGGAGGTAGTACACAGTGCAAATAGTCTAATGAATGTAGTTACAACTGCCTCAGTGGACTATTTTGCACAAAAAAATCATTTTGTGTTTCGGCGTCAGAAACAAAAAGTCATACTATAGCATGTCGTTTTTTGTGAAAAAGTTCGTCGTACAGAATGTCGTGAAAACCTGTCAGGAGGTAGTACACAGCGCGAATAGTCTAATGAATGGAGAAAAAACTGCCTCAGTGGAGTATTTTGCACAAAAAATCATTTTGTGTTTTGGCGTCAGAAACAAAAAGTCATACTATAGCATGTCGTTTTTGGTGAAAAATTTCGTCGTACAGAATGTCGTGAAAACCTGTCAAGACGTAGTACACAGTGCAAATAGTCTAATGAATGGAGTTACAACTGCCTCAGTGGAGTATTTTGCACAAAAAATCATTTTGTGTTTCGGCGTCAGAAACAAAAAGTCATACTATAGCATGTCGTTTTTGGTGAAAAAATTCGTCGTAAAGAATGTCGTGAAAATCTGTCAGGAGGTAGTACACAGCGCAAATAGTCTAATGAATGGAGTAAAAACTGCCTCAGTGGAGTATTTTGCACAAAAAATCATTTTGTGTTTCGGCTTCAGAAACAAAAAGTCATACTATAGCATGTCGTTTTTGGTGAAAAAGGTCGTTGTACAGAATGTCGTGAAAACCTGTCAGGAGGTAGTACACATTGCAAATAGCCTAATGAATGCAGTAAAAACTTCCTCAGTGGAGTATTTTGCACAAAAAATCATTTTGTGTTTCGGCGTCAGATTCAAAAAGTCATACTATAGCATGTCGTTTTTGGTGAAAAAGGT